CCCAGGAGGCAAGAGAATTTTGGGAATGATGAGGGCAACAAATGTATAGATGTGCTTTACACAATTGATCTATGTATTGTGATAAATTGTATGAGCCCCAATAAATTGATTAATTAAATTAAAAAAAAAAAAGATTCACTGAATTTTTATTTTGTCAAGACCCTTAGTGGTGTAATGGCTACTAACCACAAAGTCAACAGTTTGAATCCACTCGCCACTTTTCGGGAGTCCATGTGTGGAAATCCAAAATGACAGTTCTATGCTCCTGTGCATCAGAATTGACTAGATGGCAGGGAGGTGTGTTTTTTGGGTTTTTTCGAGGTGGGTGTAAACTGGAATAATTTTAGAAAGAACCATGGTGATTAAAAATATATATATCATTTCAAAATGCCCTTTCATTGAGGAAAGACTATAAAATCAATTCAAAAAATAATCTGCTTAATTGGATTTCCCAATCAGAAAGGACACATTTTGACTAAGATATAGAAGATGGTAACCAGACAGTTGTGATAGAATGAAGTTAAAGGCCAAGCTGGAACACTGAATGGAGATTACGTGTTGACAGAACCAGGAGTGGGAGGGGATACCACTCACTGCGCAAAAACCTCTCAGCAGGTTGGGACTCGTGAATTGGTTTTCACGATCTCACTTGCTATGGTTTCTCAGCCATAAAGGGTTTGGGGAGGGGGGTCCATCTTCCTACTTCTAGAGGAGTCCACGATGAAAGGAAATCAACTGCATCATCATTGGTATGTCCGTATTTTACAGATGGCTAGGGGAGAGGTGATTTGATTAAAGTTACACTTTCAACGATTGAGCAGTTCAGGGGTTCCTTGCACTTCTGTCTAATTTTGAAGCAGCCGCCTCTGAAGTGTGTGTCCTGTAGTCTATGAGTCAATCAATCCACAGCGAGGCCCATTGCTTCCCAGGCCCTAGAACAGTCACGTGGGCAAGTTTTCACCATCAGGGTGAACTGAGTTAGGTAACGGTTAAGGCAGTTGCTGGGAAACGAGGGATCTTCATGAAGGGGTGAGGGGAAGGGGCAGATGAACGGAAAGAACAGCTGCCCAAGCCAATGAAGTCTGACCAGGCCTGTGAGTAACGGCTGCTTCGGGTGTCTGTGACCCACACTCTTTACGGACACCCAATTCAGGAACCATTGTTCCTTTTCATTTCTAGAAAAATGCCCACACCTTACCTTTTCTTCCACATCCCTTAGATGTAACAAGTTACCTTATCTTGGTGACATTTACACCCAGTCCCAACTCTTTGCTTCTCGAGCATGGTTTACTACATTATTTTAGATCATCTCTGATTGACCACAACCCACATCCCTCATTTACAGGCAATCTTTGGACCTCATGCTGATGGCAAATCCATATTTCATTTTTTGGTTTTTACTGATTCTGTTTCTGGATAGAAATCTTGTCTCTAAGTCCTAAAAATACTTTTCCTTGGTCTTTCTTCTGCTCTGCTAATTTTATAGGAACATATAAAATAAGCTAAAGATTTATCTCTGTGTTAAATGATTCAAGTTATGCTTTTGACATATAATATTACAAAGACAATTTTTAACATGTTGCAATGTGGGTAACACTCTTGCTGTTGCAATATTACATTAATGACTTCTAGAAAATTTGCCTTGTATCTACTTTGGAAAAAAAATGTAAAAAAACTATCAATTTAATAGGAATTAAGAACAATGACAATTTTTGTGGCAAAGTATGTTCTCATACCCAAGCACTCACATACTTACACTTGGTCTCACCAGTACTTGTATGCATCGGCCCTTTCTCCCATTTCATATATACATACTATTTGTGTATTGATGTTATGTTTTAGCAGCATGGGTAATACTACCATCACAGAATTCGCAGCCTGGAGTACTTCTGAAATTTCCCAGAATGCACTGATGTACTATAGTGGTCGACTCTTCTGGATCAATGGTTTTAGGATTATTACAGCTCAAGAAATTGGTCAGAGAACCAGTGTCTCTGTTTTAGAACCAGCTAAATTTAATCAATTCACAATTATCCAGACATCTCTCAAGCCCCTACCAGGTACAGTGTTTTAATTCTTCTCCGCTCCCCTCCCTTCCCCAATATTCAATAAATGTTTAGGATGGGGTTTAGTTTTAAGAATAATGTTTTCAGAGGAAAGGGCGTTAGTAGTTTTTGGTTTGTTTGCTGTGTGTTTTACCTTAAGCAAAGTTTACAGCCTGAACAAAAATCAGAAAAGGATAAATTTCAGGATAATAGAGAAAAGAAATATTTTATTTTGGTATAAATAATTAGTAACTTTGATTGATTTTCCATGATTTCTGTGATAATGGATATATTCTTAATCCCTCTATTTTTTTTCTTTCTTCTATCCCATAGGGAACTTTTCCTTCACCCCTAAGGTTATTCCAGATTCTGTTCCAGAGTCATCATTTAGGATAGAAGGAAATGCCCTACGCTTCCAGATCCGGTGGGATGCGCCCCCGGCAGTGGATTGGGGCCTGATTTTCTACAGTGTGGAATTCAGTACGCACTCTAAGGTATGGTTTGGTTCTGTTAGCTTCTCTTTCTCCATCTGACTCTGTCATCTACATTAGCCCTTCCAACACTGTTTGTTTGCACTTTCGTCCCTCCACCCAGATTATCCTCTTTGCTGTTCCCGAAGCATTTGACCAGTCAGATTATTCCTAAAACCTCCTGTTGATAGCCAAACTCGGGCTACTTTGTGGTTACAGTGAACTGCTTTGTGACTACAGTTAGATACACTTTAAATGATTTGTAAAGCAAGATGTGGGACTTAATCAAAATCGGCATTTCCCAACTGTAGGCTTAGACTTTGCATGTGAATTTGAATCTGGAGAATTAAATTAGAAATAAGAGTATATGATTCTCTCCCTAAGAAAATGATGTGTTTGTGTTTGTGTTTTAGTTTCTGGCTAGTGAGCAGCAACCTTTACCTGTATTTACTGTGGAAGGCCTGGCGCCCTATGCCTTATTTAATCTTTCGGTCACTCCTTACACCTACTGGGGAAAGGGCCCGAAAGCATCTGTATCACTTCGAGCACCTGAAGCAGGTACAGGGGTTAACATTGTTCTTATGAAATAAAATAAAAGTAGAATCTTTCTTCCCATGATCTTGACTGGACATTTAGAAGTTCTAAAAAAAAAAAAATTGGGGGTCTTCTAAATATGCTTAGATCCCTTAAAGACCTTTTGTAGCTTTCAATAGCACCATTAAAATAGATCTGCACGATTTCTTCCAAAGTAATATTTCAAGGAATTAACCTTAGAGAATGTTTTACTTGACGGTCATGATCGATGAGCAGGCAGGAACATGACTAAGCAGGTGTGGAACGCTTCATAAGAAAAGCAGGCAGTTAGGAGCAAAAGCAGGTTTATCAGGAGGCGCTATTCTCAGAGTTCACCACAGTTGAATAACTGATGTCGACATTAATAAACTGATGTCTTAATTAATATAGTTTTTTGTAGTTAAGTTTAAAAAGTGTGATTGACTTTTCCTTAATGTCCCTACCACTTTAGAAATGTACAAAGCACATTTATATGGATTGTCCCCTGATTAAACATTTATTACATACCTATCATGTGTTGGAGACGTCACTGAATTCCAACCCCTCCCAGAAGTAGGCAGAACAGGTGTTCCGTTTTTACACTATGCAAAAGCAAACATGGACCCAGAAGTTGTCCAGTTTGTAAAAACAGCTAATATGGCAGGGCTGGGACTTAGTGTAGACTTTTCCCTACGGTATCAAGTAATAGATCAAATCTTTATTTAGTCATTTTTACAAGTGTGGATTAAGAGTAGTAGCACACAAGTTAATTGATATAGAAATCTTCTAGCAGAGGAACTGGCAGCCAGTAAAAGCATAATGAATATAGATACCCACTCTCCATTGCATTTTATACTGTCAGAATTCGTCACCACTATTTATATAGGAGTTTTGTAGCAGGGAGCTAGACGGATTCTAGAGCACTTAGCCTCGGAACCCAGGTTTGCTGTTTGACTTTGTCTTTGGATATGAGCATTGGCAAGATTGCCCTGTAGAAATGAGCTGACTGCACCCCCTTAGACTCGAAGGGTTCTCAACCTTCCTAATGCTGCGACCCTTTAATACAGTTCCTCGTGTTGTGGTGACCCCCCAAAGGGGTCGCGACCCACAGGTTGAGAACTGCTGCTTTAGAGGCTGCATTGAAGGCCAGAATCAGCGCAGTGACGAGGATGACGGGGCAATATGGAAGAATGAGAAAATTTGAATCGTGTCCTCAAGGAATTTGCAACATAATTGGGAAATTGTTGAAATTGATGGACCCTATTAAGGTTATTCAGTCCAGTACTAGATTTGGGGAGATTTCATGAGGAATAAGAGAAGATGTCGGAGCTCTGGTGGAGCAGTGGTTAAGTGCTCATCTGAAAACTGGGCTGTTCAGACTCAGCAGCTGTGCTGCAGGAGAAGCTGAAACGGTCTGCTTTTGAAACTGTTCCCAGCCTGGGAAATGGCTGCTCTCCTTGTAGGTTTGTCAGGTATTGGAATCGGCTTGACAGCAGTAGTAGGTTTTACGTCTTTGTTTTTAGCTTTGGTTTAGAAAAAATCGCATGTGTGTGTGTGGTTGGGAGACAGACAGATGCCTCGAATGGTGAGGGAAGCGTGCGAGTGAGGCGTGAGCAGTGACGGTATGCCAGAGAGAATGGGCACCACGGTAACCTCCATTCTCACCAAGCTGCTTCAGGTTCGTAGGAGGAGAACACCAATCCGGTTTGCTATGATCAGGACACACCTGGAGAGAATGGAGTGGAAACTAGCCGGTTCCCAGAGAACTTTTGGAAGAGAGTTGCTGCATGTGAAAAGTACAAATGTAAAGAAGCTGGAAGCTGGACGAAGAGTATGAATGTGGAACAGCGAGAAAGATGTGATTGGAATGTGATGAGGGCTAGCAAGAGAGGCTGATCTAGGGTGGAATCGCTGGTTAGGCCGAGGATAGTCTCTTGATTAAAGGACTGGGAGAGGGGAAAAAACCCAGCTTGATTTGCCTCCAGAATAAAGGAGCACTTTCCTCCGAATCTCAGACCACAGCACTGTGTGTGCTACCACCGTTCTCCAAAACCTTTGCCTTCTGGAAGGGTTCTGGGTGAGAATGCTGGGCTCGCTGAGCTGTCCCATTTTGCCTTTCAGTGACGACAGGACAGAGAGGGTCCTATCTTTTTCCTGGGGCCTGCTATTCCCATCGGCAGCCACAGTACTAAGTCAGGGTGAGACTGAAAAGTACATTTTAGAAGAAAAATCACGCACCTTCCATCTACATAGGACAGAGATGAGAAAGAATGAGAAAGGTGTGGCAGGAAGATTTTGAGTGGGGTGTCTTTTCCTGTCAGTAAGATTTGCGGAAGCAAATCAGGATCTGTTTCTCAAGAAGTCCATGGGATATTCTTTCCTGAAGGTTTATTAAGAACGGTATATATCTTTTGTTGTTGTTTTCTTAATCATTTTATTTGGGGCTCATACCACTCTTATCACAATCCATACAGAATGGTAATATCTGAACTGCCTAGAATAAGGTGTATTTATTGTTAGATAGCTCCACACCCTTATCACACATGGCAGAATCCAGTCTTCTTCTCCTTTCTGCTTTTATCATCTGCTTTTCAGTTCCCTCCGCACCAGAGAATCCCAGGATATTTGTCTTACCAAGTGGAAACTATGCCAATAATAATGAGGTCGTGGTGGAATTTAGGTGGAATAAGCCTAAGCATGAAAATGGTGTCTTAACAAAATTTGAAATTTTCTACCAAATATTCAATCGAAGCATGGCGAACACAACCTTTGAAGACTGGATTGCTGTCGATGTCACTCCCTCCACAATGTCCTTTCAACTAGAGGGCATGAGACCTCAGTACATCGTTCTTTTCCAGGTACGAGACGGAAAATGGGAATTGCTGGCTCTTCATAAAGTAAAGCAAACGATCAAAGGAGCAGATTAGAATTCTGTACCATGCTCTCTCAAAACTGTGAAGTATGTTGTGATCATGGGGATTTAGTGGGAAGCAACAGTCCAAAGGAGAGAATACAAACAGTAAGGCAAAGGGGTTTGTTTTTTTTTAAGGCAAAGGGGATTTCACAGTTCTCTGGCACTCAGGAAACTTCCCAGATTCCGTCAGCCATTATTGTTGCACCTGCTACTTCAGGTCATGACTTGTGGATGCTCTCGTTTGTATTACCTCATGTGGTTCTCAGATTGTGAAGAACAAGCCAAGTGCAGGTATATCCACCATTGTCAAAGTTACATAGAACTAAGTCCGTGTTGTAAACTTCCAGTTCTTTTCCTTTCATCCCATCAACTTTGTGGATCATCTGGGTGCCGAACCCTGGCGCTGTTCATGAAAAGAGATAGTTGAAATCTCACCATTTCACTAGTTGGCACCACCATGATGCTGATAAAGGAGAATGTTAGGGAGACAGATAAGAATAAAAGCTACCGTTACCTCTATATTAGTGTTTTAAATTCAATATGAGACCTCTTTCCACTTATCACAGGTGACTTGATTTTTCGGATTCTCAGTATAGACTTGGTGACAGTGCACATGATAATAAACTTATCTTCCACATCTCTTAGGGTAAAATAATGCTTTGATGAAGTTGTAGGAATCTGATTTTCCTAAACTAGCTATTGATATTTGAAAACCAGTTGCTTGTATGTGAATGCTTTTATTTCTGGGTTTTCTATTCTGGTTTAAAAATTTTTATGAAATACTTTTATTGGGAGCTCTTACAGTTCTTATCACAATCCATACCTTCTTCCATTCTGTCAAGCGCATTTGTACATATGCTGCCATCAACATTTTCAAGGCATTTTCTTTCTACTTGGGCCCTTGACATCAGTTCCTCATTTTTCCCCTCCCTCGCTCCCCCATCCTCCCTTCCTCATGAACCCTTGATATTTTACTGACAGGAAAAGGCACCCCACTCAGAATCTTCCTGCCACACCTTTCTCATTCTGGTTGGAGTTGGGCTATATGGTGTTCTCCTACTTGTGCTTGGTGGAGATTGGTTTTCTGGACATAGTGAGTTGGCAAGGATCTTCTGCAAGGTTGGGTGTCTTGTGGCGTATTCTTTGAGTTTTTCCATGTCCTGGGAGACCCTTAACTCTCCTTCTATCTTAATGGATAATTTGGCAGGGTAGAGGATTCTTGGGCAGGTGTTTTTTTTCTTTCAGCTTTTGGAAGATGTCACTCCACTCTCTCCTCCGCTTCATGATTTCTGCTGATAGGTCTGAGCATATGCTTACCTGAAAACCACTGTATGTGACTGTCTTCCTTTCTCTTGCTGCCCTTAGGATTTTCTCTTTTTCCTCGACATTGAATAGTTTAACTAGTATTTGCCTTGGTGAGTTCTTTCTGGGGTTTAGTCTAATTGGTGTCCTCGCTGCTTCCTGTATGAATGTCTGATTCCCATTCATTAAGGTGGGAAAGCTTGCTTCCAGAAATTCCCTCGCTAATTTAGCTGTTGACTTCTTTACTGCATCTTGTTCTGGTAGACCAATTATTTGAATTTTATTCCTATTCATAGCATCTGTCATTGATCTCAGGTTTTCTTCTGCCTCTTTTGCCATCTTATTTGACTGTCTTTCTCATTTGCTGAGGTCTGCCTGATTGTCTTCAGGATGACTGATATGATTCTCTGCCTCCTCTAGTCTGTTCGTGAGATCCATGATCTTGTGCAGCTTTTTTACTTCATCCATTAGCTCTGGTATTTCCCTTTGGTAAGGGGACTTCATCTCCTCTATCATTGCACCCTTATTCTGCGTAGCTTCCCTTATCTCCTGTATTACTCCAAGCAGCCTTCTGAAAATTTCTTTTTGTAGCAGATCAACATCTGATTCTTCTAGGAGCATCGCCAACTCTGCCGTTGTGACTTGTCTTTCTTGTTTTCTTGTTGGGAGTGATGCAGTATGCTTTTGCTTACATGGCAATTTCATAGAGCTGGGCACCATATTTATGGGAGACTTTGTCTGTGCGACTGGTAATGGTGTTTTCTGTGGCCTACTATGCTGGTTGGTCGGATTGCTGTGTAGGCAGGTGCTATGTTGACAAGGAGGGGCCTCAGAGACTGGAGCGAGGCTGGTGAGTGTATGTATGCACCTGGGCTGAGTTGATCTGGGCTGTCAGGGCACAATTTTCAGGCTCTTTAAAAAACGTTTTTTTTAGAGGCACCTAATAGAAATCAATGGTGGGGGAGGACACACTGCCATGGGAGGTGGTGCTGAGCAATGTGGGGACAACCCCACTGCAGCTGGTACTGGTGCCAGGAGAAAGCCTCCACAGGGTGAAGGTTTCAGGCACAGGTGGGCGCAGCTGTGGGGAACTCCATATGACTGCTGGGTAACTCCAGGCACAGCGATATGGCTGCAGGAGGCCAATGGGCAGGTGGTGGCCGTGTTGGGGTCTGAGGTGCTGTAGCCGCGGGGGCGGGGAGCTCCAGCGATTGGGTTGCTGGGTTCCAGAGCTATGCTTGATTTGGAAGTAAGATGCCCTCTGGACCAAGGATGTCCTCCCCACTGTTCCATGTGCAGGGCGGGAGGGGCTGGGGCAGTGATGAACCACGCTGCTGGGGAAGTGGTGGGCACCGTGCTTGTGGACATGGCAGATGCGGCTGCGGCAGGAGTGGAGGGGTCCCAGGCACTGGTGCAAGGAGTCTCCACAGTCCCAGGTCGGAGGGACCAGTGCTTGTCGGTGGGATTACCACCTAGTGGAGAGCGGGGACCTGCAGGAGATGGGAGCAACTCCCCTAGGTGGGCATTGCGAGTGGACAGTTGCTATGCGGTGGTCCAGCTGTGGCTTTGGAACTCAGCAAGGCAGCCGTCCAGCTCCTGGAGTGGCAACCAGGCCGTGGGCTGAGGGGGCACTCGGCAGGTGGAGACTGCGGTGGCGTGCAGAAGCAGCACAGCCAGCGGGAAATCCCTGGATCAGGTCACAGATCTCAGGGGCTTTGAAGCAAGGCGGATGTGGGTGGGGGCCGCCTCCAGGACAGAGGAAGCACCTCAGGCTGTCGTGGGGTCATTTCACTTACCAGAATCCTCTCACTTGTCCTCCTGGACACCAGGCTCACCGATCCCTGCGGCAATCCCACTATGGACTGCTTACCTCTTCTCCTATTTTCATGATATCTTTTTCAGCGCTCTCTTTGCTGTTAATAGGAATCCAATTGATTTCTCCTGGTTAATCTTGTATCCTGCTATTTTAGTAAATACCCTAATTGTTGCCAAGAGTCTTTGGTGGAGACTTGGGTGGTTCTCACTATATAAAATCATATCTGCTAATAGCAAGAGTTCACTTCTTTGCATGCTTGTATTCCTTTGATTTCGTTTTGTTGACTAATGGTTCTGCTAAGACTTCCACCATGATATTGAAAAAGTGTAATACACCTTTCAAGTTGAAGGACAGAATAATTAGAAAGACATTCAACAAAGACACCAAAGAATTAAAGAACACAATCAACCAACTTGACCTCAAAGACATATGCAGAACATTTTAAACAACTGCACAATACACATCGTTTTCTAATGGACGTGAAAGATTTTTCAGGGTAGACTATGATATATATGGAGCCACAAAGCAAGTCTCAAAGATGAAAATATTACAAAGCATCTTCTCAGATCATAACACTAAAATTAGATATCAACAACAGGAAGTTCAAGGCAGAAAATCAATTCCATAGTAATTATATACCACACTGATTAAAAATAATGGGCAATATAGGATTAAAAAAAACCCTCCTGGATCAAGAAAAAAAAGTCACAACATAATAAAACCTTTGGAACACACCAAAAGCAATGATTAGAGGACAATTTAGACAATAAACACTCACATTAAAAAAAACCAGCTTCAATGGAGAGCAAATGTTTTGAGAATGATGAGGGCAATGAATGTACAAATGTGCTTTACACAATTGATATATGTATGGATTGTGATAATAGTTGTATGAGCCCCTAATAAAATGATTAAAAAAAAGAATAAATTATCATTGAATCTTAAAAAAGCAAGAACAGAGAAAACTAAAATCATCATCTTAACACAACATTTCAATAGGAAAAGAGCAGCAAAATTAACCTAGAATCACTAGAAGGAAATAAGTAATAGAGATTAGAGCAGAAATAAATATAGTAGCAGCAAAACAATAGAAAGAGTAATGAAGACAAGATGTTGATTCTTTAAAATCATTAATAAAATTAACAAACCACTGGCAAATCTAACAAAGACAAAGGAAAAGATGGCAATAACATAAATAAGAAATAAAATGAGTGATGTTATAATAGAACCAGTGAAAATAAAAAGGGTAATAACAGAATACTGTTATTATCAAGCAATTGAGAACATATAAGAAATGAGCAAATTAGTAGAAATATACTACCTACCTAAACTAACATTAAAAATAAATAGATAAAAGATAAGCATCAGGTCATTAAAACACTCCAAATAACCAACAAAAAGTCCTGGCTTAGATGGCATCGCTGGCTTCATTGGTGAATTCTACCATGCATTCAGTGAAGGTCTCACCAAATTCTACTCAAGGTACAGGAACGGACGGAAACCTTTCAGATATAGTTTATGAGGTGAGCATAACTCTAATAGCAAAGCCAGGCAAAGACATTTCTAAAAAGGAAATTATAGACCAATAACCTGCATGAACATTGGTGCAAAAATCTGAGTCAATAGACTCCAAAAACATAACAAAAAAAGGAGAAGGAGGAGTGGAGGAGGAGGATAAAGAAATACATCACAACCCAGAGGGATTCATATAAAAAAATGCAAGGATGTATGCAAGTTATACATGGATGGTCAAAAACTTGAAAAGCAACACTGGACAACACATATTTTGGTGCCTCCAATGCTCGCCTTGTTTCTGGGTGTATTTA